TAATTAAATAAGAGAAATAGATTCCTAATTAAACATAATTCTGCAAGTTGATGTATTACTTATGGGATAAGTTTACTGAAAACAAATACAACTTAAATTACATAACTTGCTTCAATCCAAGAGCCTTAGTATGACTCTCATACTTTGGCTGTGGAAGGGGTTTAGTAAGTAGGTAAGTGATATTCTCACTCATATGAAACTTTGCAGATCTTGACATCCCGCCAGCCAATGATCTCTTGAATGAGGTGATACTTCATCTCAACATGTTTGGATTTGTAATGTGACCCTAGCTCCTTTGATTGGGCAAAGGCGCCATCTTTGTCACAAAACAACTTGATCCAAAATTCCTCCTTAGATACTTCTACTGCAACCAAATACTCATATTCTATCATGGAGTATGCGACAGTGCTTTGCTTTGAACTCTTCAAGCTCATTGTTCCTCTATTCAGACAGAAAACGTACATAGATCGAAATCTATATTCATCTTTGTCTGTTTGGAAAATCGCATCCGTATAACCCTTGACAACCATTTCACTTTTGCCACCATAACTAGAAACATTCCTGTAGTCCTTCTCAAGTCCTTAAGGATTTGTTCTTAACAACTTTCTAGTGCACTTCTTCTAAATTTGCTTAAAAACTATTACACGTGCTCAAGGCACACGTAACATCCAGCTTGGTACATATCATGGCATACCTAATGGACCCTATTGTAGAGGCATAAGGTATTTTAGCCATACGACTCAACTCTTCTGGCTTTTGAGGGCCCTTGAGTTTTACTGAGTGTAATACCATGAGACATGGGAAAAATCTTCTCTTAGAGTCTTGTATCTCAAACTTATCAAGAATATTATCAGCATAAATCTCTTGACTTTTTCAATCATCCTTCAAGACCTTTCTCGATGAATCTTAATTCCCAATATGTACTTGGCATCTCCTAAGTCTTTCATATAGAAACAGCTCTTCAACCATTACTTGACTGACTCAAGCATTGGTGTGTCGTTCCCTATGAACAGTATGTCATCTACATACAAGACTAAGAAAACTAGATTGCTCCCGCTAAACTTATTGTATACAAAAAATTCTTTTTCGTTCTTAAGGAAACCAAATTATTTGATTGCCTCATCGAAATGAATGTTCTAACTCCTTGATGCTTGCTTCAATCCATGAATGGATTTCTAAAGTTTTCAAGAACTTTCTAGGATTTTCTGGATCTTCAAAACTCTCAGGTTGTGCATTATACACATTCTCCATCAAGAACCCATTCAAGAAGACAGATTTGATATCCAACTGCCAAATTTCGTAATCGAAGATTTCAGCAATCGCTAGAAGAATCCGAATTGATTTAAGAAACTAATGGGTTTGACCCCCATTTGCAAGTCTATCAGAACTAACACATCATTTTCTGACATGGAGTCCATTTTAGATTTTATGGCCTTAAGCCATTTCCTGAGTTGGTGCTCGCCAAAGCTTGCTTGTAGGTTGTGGGTTCCACACATTCCAATTAGAAAATTTTGGAATCCTCAGTTGTCAAAATTTTAACAAACTATTTGTTTTTAATTCTGAGTGACCTACGAGGGGTAAGAGCAATGATAGAAGTAAAAATATTTTCATCAACTCTTTGAAGTTATTCACTCAAGTGGGATGATAGGAGTCTTGCTAGTTGAATTAGCTTGCTCCGACACATGATTTGACAAATGAACTAACTCATTCGCCTTCGCCTCTAATGTGGTGTTATCCACATCATTCGTTGGTCGTCTTGAATTTCTTCGAGAATCACTTTACTCCCACTTGGCTTTGTGGAAAGATATTCCCTTTCTAAAAAGACACTATCGCGAGTAACAAACACTTTGTTATCTGCGCGATTGTAGAAGTAATACCCTTTTGTTTCTATGGGATGACCCACGAAGAAACATTTATCTGATTCAGGGTTAAGTTTGTCTCCTTGTAAACATTTTACATAGATTTCACAACCCTTAATCTTTAAGAAAAGACAACTTTGGAACTCTTCCGGTCCATAACTCATATGGCGTCTTCTCAACTGCTTTAGACGGATTTCTGTTTAGTATATTCGCAGCTGTTTTCTAATGCATATCCTCATAACGATTTGTTAAGATTAGTAAAGCTAATTTTGGATCGAACCATGTCAAGCAAAGTTTGATTCCTGATTTCTAACACACTTTTAATTGTGGTGTTCCTTTGATTGTGAAATAATCCACAATTCCTCTGATGAGATTAGATCGTAGTGTTTTAATTGTTTACTCAAGCTGATTTTGTACTTCATTCTGGAATTCCTTGAAATTTTCAATCATTCCAACTATTACTTCATTAAGTAGATATAGCCATATTTACTTAATTCGTTAGTAAAAGCAATGGAGTATTATAAGCCATTTCTAGCTTTTGAACTCATTTTGGTCTAGACACATCGATATGTATAAGTCCCAAAAGGTCATTAGCTCTTTCACCCTTTCAACTAAAAAGTGACTTGGTCATCTTATCTAACAAGCATGAATAGCAATTCTTAAATGATTCATAATCAAATAAGAATAAGAGTCCATCCATTTGTAATCTTTGGATGCGCAATTGGTTTATGTGACCTAACCTTACTATGTTATAAGTAGGTTGGTTTGAATCATCTGTTTTCGCTTTTGTGATCTACTTCTATCAATGTTATAAAACAAAATTAACTCATAGCTAGCAAATGAAAACAATTTATTATCTTGTCATGGATCAACACTTGCCCATGACAAGTAAACCAATCGGTATTTTAACAAAACTGAAAATTGTCTCATCAGAAACCAAAAATAAGTCTAAAATCATCATAAACTAAAATTAAAACTATGAATCTTTCTCTGGCCACTTGAACACTTCTTGTGCACCTTCAAGCTCCATTTCCATGCTAGCTTCACTTCTTTGCAGTTTTTAGAGAACATGAATAATGTAAGCACTGCAACTTGGTATCACATACCTAAGTGAAAGTTAAAATGTTCATAACAAGTTACCTAAGGTTAATGCTCCATTCTTCTTGAGGTAGTCAAGGTACTTCTGGAAATTGCGATTCCAATGCCCCTTCTTGTAGTAAAAGCATTTACTTTCACCTGCAGGCTTAGGCTTTGGAGTCGCCTTGGGCTTCTTAGGTGTTTTGGCAACCTTCTTGCCCTTACCCTGGATATTGCCCCTTTCCCTTTCATCTAGAACCCCTTCCCTTTCTTGACCATAAAAACCTCTTTCTTAATATCCTTAGGGATGTTGGTTTTGTCGTGTCTGACACCGCGCGGAAACAAAACCCGGAAATCGGATCGCATGAATAATAATCATAACAAAAACAAAAGCATGAAAATAAACAAAACTCCAACACATAAAGAGAAGAGAGAGAAAGAAACTCACCCTAGACACATGCTTCGCTCACTCAATGAGCTCGGACTTAAAAGTTTCAAGCTCTGCAAATGCGAAACCTCCTACGGTTCACACCCTCGCTCACCGAACCAGAACCGGTCCCTACCCCGTAGCTTAGACGGGGCAAGACCAAAAATAACTTAGAGTTTACGAACTAAGGTTTTCTCGCTTTTGGAGATCCCTTATAGTTCACCAACTCAAGTGAAAATCCCAATACCCAATGATTGGTATTTATAGGGAAATGTCCCCAAGATTTCCCATCATCTTTTAATGTGGGATAGTTGGTAAAATGCCAAATGAAAAAATTAATTTAATTCTAAATTAAATTAAAATGGCAAGGCAATCATTAAACAACAAGTGGCACGGGTGAGCAAGGGGGTAGGTGAGGACCACAAGAGGAGGACCACCTTCCCCTTGCTCCCCAAGAAAACCACCCCCTTACAAACCGGTGCAATGGGAGGCAGCCAGCTGGCAGCCAGCCTTGGGCACCAAGGCAGCCGTGCTGACGCCTAGTCCCTCAGCTGAGCCTACCCACCTGGGCCTTGTCGCATCAGCCCGCAATAGCAAGCAACGTATATGCGGGATGCTTGTTGCTAAGCGTTGTTTCTACTAGCACCAAGCTCGATGCTAGTAGCTTGTTCCTAGTGCGCGAGCCGCTAGGCGTGCCAGGCCGCATGCATGCTCGGGTATAATGTCACACCTAGCTAGCAGGGCTACTCGGCCAATTCGTCCAGCCAATGCATGTTGGGCTTGCGGCAAGGTGCTCAGCTAGCTATGCTAGCCTACCTAGCTCTCGATTGGCTAAGCCATATCAAGGCTAAGATATTCACGCGCGTTGACATGTTGTTTGACTGATTTTTAAGTCTCGTCGATTCCTAAATTTGACTCGACTTTCGACGCTCGGCTTCAATGCTCTAACCTCGGAATCCGACATCTTAGTTCGTAAAATCTCGATCGACTTATTTAATCCTTCGACTTAATTCGTCGCTTTGGTTCGGTTACACAATTAGGTGTGACCCGAAGGGTTCAGTCAAGAACAAGCTGTAATATTAATTATACATTAATATTACTGATCGGAGGCGGCCTCCATCTAGGAATTCCGATCACTTGACCTCACTTAATAATTAGCTTTCCTAATTAATTTTAAACCCTCTATCGGAATAATACACTTGTTCGAAGGACACCATTCCTTTCAATCTCCCACTTGTCCTTTCGAACAGGTGTGCTAATTGTGTGTAGCCTGTTTCCTATGTCACTTAATGTCTCTTCATGAACTATAAAGTAAGATTGTTCGTCATCCTTTATATGTCTAGAAAATTTTATCGATTTTCGAATTCAACTGTCAATAAGCAGATGATTTCTAAAATCAATTTGAGCACGGCCATGCATTTTTGTAGTCTTGCTCTTCGAGAGGCCTTGTAAACAACAAAGACATGTTCCCTACTGTCAATTGGGGGATATTCCCGGTCTTTCATTGTTAGCTTCCCTTACTAAGAGGCCCTAGCCATCCGAGTGTTTCCTTTATAGTCCCCTTGTACGGAAGACGTTTAACAACATCAAAACGGACTAGTACTCAAGGAAGAGAACTTACAATACTCATGGTTGAGGAAAGAGGTTCCAATAGCCATAATGAGTAATCTTTTATGTCGATCTGGTATAGTTCCAAACCAATACTTATGCAAATGATTTATAACATTCTTGCCCTTGTAGCACAAAAAATGGTGCTATCACTAGTAGAAAAAATGAAATAAGCACCCCCCTTTAGCACCGGTTCTTGAAAACCGGTGCCAAAAGAAATGGGCGGGATTGAAAAAATCAGTGTTGGCACCGGTTCCAACCAAAACCGGTGCCAATCATTTAATTAGCACCGGTTCAAACCGGTGCCCACTTATTAAAAAATTATTAAAAAAAAAAATCGGGCTCCTGCTTTTCTTTCTTTCTTTCCCCCCGTTTTTTCCATCTTCTGTTTTCCCTCTAGTTTTCGCCTTCTCTTCCACCATCCCGAATTTTCACCTTCTCTATTGAAGTGGTTTACGAGCTTTCTCACTCCATTGAAGCAGCACCTCCTTCTCTCTCCATATCTCTGGCCTCCATTGAACTCGTGCTCTATATTCTCCATTGAAGTCGATTCTGAGCTTTCTTACCTCCATTGAAGCAGCTTCGAGGTAATGTAGTCTTCTTAATCTACTGAATTCCTTCGCAATCTAGGGTTTGTCGTTGATTTGGTTTTCAATTTCGTAATTTTAGGGTTCTGGTTTAGGGTTCTGGTTTTATTTCTCACCTTCATTGAAGCAGCTTCGAGGTAATGTGGTCTTCTTAATCTACTGAATTCCTTCGCAATCTAGGGTTTGTCGTTGATTTGGTTTTCAATTTCGTAATTTTAGGGTTCTGGTTTTAGGGTTCAGGTTTTATTTCTCACCTCCATTGAAGCAGCTTCGAGGTAATGTGGTCTTCTTAATCTACTGAATTCCTTCGCAATCTAGGGTTTATCATTGATTTGGTTTTCAATTTCATAATTTTAGGGTTCTGGTTTTATTTCTATTTTTTTTAATTTAGTTTCAATTAATTAACCATAAACCCTAAGTTTTTCAATTTTAATATTTTTTATTCTATCATTTGCAGGAATTGTAGATCTAGTTTGTTTGCTCCTCAAAAAGGAGTTCAAATTCAAAGGTTAGTGGCTATTTTTTCCAATGCTCTTATAGTTTTGTATATGTGTTAGTTATTAGTAGCAAAAATGGTACAAAATGATCTTATAGTTGGTTGTTTGATTGGATTTTGATATAAAATGTAGGAGGAAGCAAGAGCAGTAGAGCTGCTGAGAAGTGAGAAAATGGAAAATTTAGTTGGGTGTTGTTGTGAGGGTGATGAGAGATTGCTAGTTGCTGAGTTCATGCCCAATGAAACACTTTCTAAGCATCTCTTTCACTGTGAGTATCATCTAAATTCATAACTTTCTTGTTTAAGATTGAAATGTTGTGACCTTGACTATGAATTTGTTATTTTTCTACCGAAGGGACTTTGTATGTGTCGTGTTGAATTAGGCATTGCTTTTGTGTTTTTGATATGTAATAATCAATGAGGTATGATTACCATGGTACGTTGCTTGAAGATGCTAGAGTTTATCCCTATTATTAATTTTCGAGAAAGTATAATGTTTTCGACGAGGGGAAACAAGTTCAATCTAAATTGTTTGTGCCGAGTTAGCAACAGTCAATGTACAACCAGTGTATTCTTAATAAAGGGTTGCACCACATCATTGGTGTAATCTTCTTAGGACTCTCAAACAGACAAGGAGAACTTTGGGCAATGTCGATATAATTAAATATTTTTTTAAGGTTTTTTTAATTGATTAAGATTGGTTTTGGTACGTTTGTGCACATCAGTTTTACAACGTTCATTATGAGACTTAAATGGTTAGGAAAGCTCGTTTGTAGATAGAGTTTCCATGTACTTGACTTTGATTCATGGGTGAAGTTGTTGTGTTGATGGTGCTACTGTATTTTGGTTTAAGTTTCAAATTGTTTATTTACTTCAGGGGAAAATCAGCCTTTGAAATGGGCTATGAGGTTGAGAGTGGCATTGTGTTTAGCACAAGCCTTGGAATATTGTAGCAGTAAAGGAATATCATTGTACCACGACCTTAATGCTTATAGAGTTTCATTTGACCAGGTACAATTGAACTGGTATTTTTGCTCTTGTCTCTATCCTTTTCTCCATATACTCTATGTCGTGACTCAACTTTTGACAGGATGGTAATCCCAGGCTCTCTTGCTTTAGCCTCATGAAAAACAGCCGAGATGGCAAAAGCTATAGTACAAATTTGGCTTTCACTCCTCCTGAGTACATGAGGACAGGTACCTGGCCCTTCCTAAATGATTCATTTTGAAGTAAATATAGACTATGCTGAATGGTATACATGACAATATTGACTTGTCCTAATCTCCTTGCTGATTGCATATTCAATGATGAAGGTCTCTCTCTAGTTATGTGTGCAGAGAACGTTATAAAGTTGTTGCAATGGAACTGCTAATTTCTGAAAGCATGCTTTCTCTAAGAAGTTAATGCCTTGCTTTCTAATTGGCAGGTCGAATTTCTCCAGTGAGCGTGATCTACAGTTTTGGCACCTTACTGATTGACTTTCTCAGTGGGAAACATATACCGCCAAGCCATATAAACTTCAAATTTTCATACAACTTTCAGTGTGTCATGTCATGTTTTACCCTCTTAATGCTTCATTAACCTCTATATTCAGTGTGCTACTCTAGTAACTCCACTTGAACTAGAAAGAAACAAGCATCTAAGAATCCTTGAGAACTCATATATTAGTATCCAAATATCCTTGAGATTTGGTTTTTATTAGACACATCAAAATTCTTTCATGAAAGAATTATAGGGCTAAATTGTAAGTCCTCTTATTGGAGTTGGCTTAGCTTTTTACATTCCAAAGAATGATTTAAAGTTTGCAATACTTTAGAAATTGGATTTGGATATTCAGTTTTGTCAAACTACAAAACATGTTAAGTATCGTATCACGCTCTCCACCCTTCCAATTACCCCTCTGTCCCAAAAAGGTATATATCTTGTAAACTCTTTAGCTCACTTTGGCTCTCTAATTGCCTTAGGTCTTGGTACACCAATCTAATTGGTTATCAGATGTTTTGGGAACACAATACAAAAGATTTTAACTCAGAATTCTCTTGATTTTCCCAAGCACTTGATCTCATACGTGGAAAAAACTTTTCGATGTTGATCGACTCTAATTTAGAGGGACATTTTTCAAATGATGATGGAACTGAATTAGTACGATTAGCATAACGTTGCTTGTAGTATGAAGCTCATGAAAGGCCTAATGGCAGATCTCTTGTGACAGCTCTTACTCCACTTCAGAAAGAAACTGAGGTGAGCCTAATTTTAATTCCTCTCCTGAGACATTTGTTTTTTTTTTATTTAATGCACTGGATAAATTTCTTGGCTTTACCGGCCAAACACCTTGTTTGAGAGATTAATGCTTGAGAAGATACATCATCTTAAGCACAAAATGCCTTGACAAACAGCTTTAACCTATCTGTCGCGTTCTCTACAAATAATTTGCTATTTTTTGTCACCTGTATTACATACATAAACACTTCTCTTAGTTTAATTACCATATATACACAATTATATTACAAGGGATAAAAAAAAAAGGATTAAATTGCTACTACTATTGCTAGTATAATTAATTAGCAACAAGTATCATGAACTTCATCTGTAAAATAAGTAACTTTATGATGAATGAGTATAATTTACCTGGGTGGAAGCAAGGTGAGGGTAAGGAAGCAATAGATGCTTAGAAAGTGTTTCATTGGGCATGAACTCAGCAACTAGCAATCTCTCATCACCCTCACAACAACACCCAACTAAATTTGCCATTTTCTCACTTCTCAGCAGCCCTACTGCTCTTGCTTCCTCCTACATTTTATATCAGAATCCAATCAAACAACCAACTATACTAAATAACTAATAAATGCTTTTTTTTGTTTTTTGATAAATCTAGCATACATTCTTGAAGAACCGTCTACAGTATTATATACAACTTCCTTAGGACAAATACCCGTATTCCATAACACCTGCCATTCTAGTGCTAGCCGCATCACTTGCAACAAATTTCTTAGTCTGCTCCATAACCTTATGTGCTCCCCTTCATCTTTTTTTTTTTTTTTTTTTTTTGTGTGTGTACGTTTTGCCTTTAGCAAAACTGTTGAGTGCTTAAGCACAGCAAAGGAAGAGCAACAAATTCTGAAGATGAATTGGCTATAGTTTACTTGGTTGGACAATCTTTTTTTTACAGAATTGCTCTGCCAAAAAATTTAGGGATTATCAAGGGTTTTGTAATCAGTTAAGCAATTATGGATTTGCCCTAGAAAGCTCTACTACATCTTCTTGTTAGTACTATATTATAGTGCTTAATTGTTATCCTAATTCTAGGATTTACATGTTTCTGATTTTAGAAATTATGTGAACAACTTGACCCTGTGGCTCAAAGCTTTGGTTGTTGTGTCGTGTTTATATACAAGTATGACATTGGGGAATTACGAGTACACTTCTATTATCAATTAAACAAGGGGGTAGTTGCAGCAGGGAGGGGGGAGGTGCAGCAGGGGGCCGGGGCAGGTGGAGCAGGGATGTATTAATCATCGGATAAAGGGCCCTAAATCTATTGCTGATCATATGTATCGAATGGCGTTGATGGGTTTGATTGCTGGGGACATTCCGGGTGTGAATAGGGAGAGGTTGGATGTTAACCAATTATGCTTGTTTTGGACATATTGATATTTCCCTTGCTGATGAGCTGTATTATCTTCTTTTGACAATGCTTTGCACAGATGTATCAAGATGGCAGTAGTTCTTGATATTGATGTAGGTATACTCTTTTTATTTTTTTACAATATCTTATACTCTCATGGTATTTTAAGTTGTTAATATTCTTTGTGACAAGAATCAGCTTGCCTATATTGTTTATTTCTTCACTGCATTAGGACATCAGAGCAATAACGAGCAAGACAGCCCAGCAAATAGGAGCACATCAGAGCGCCACCAGCACAACACCACATCAGCTCACCAGTACCGCAACACAGAGGACCACGCAGTAGAACCCAGCAAACACAGCAGCCTGACCAGCAAGCAACACAGCACTACAGCAGAGCAGCAAACACCTAGCACTACAGCAGAGCAGCAAACACCCAGCACTACAGCAGAGCAGCAAACACCAAACATAGCCTAACCAGAGCAGAAAAGAAACACAGCAGCTCAAGAACTCAAACCAGTCACCCAGCCAGCCTGAACATAACAGAGACACAGCCACAGAAGCAAACAAATGCCCAGCCAGCATGAACAGGCAGAGGCACAGCAACGTAGCAGAACAGAAACAGCAGAGCAGTCTGGATTATTTAATTTTTTTTGGACGAAAATTATAATATTACAGCCTTTTTTAATGAAAATATGTAACTTTATATATATGTTAATGTTTCTATATTAATTTAAGTGAAAAAAATGCAAAAAATAAAAAAAAAATTAAAAAAAATAAATTTTTTTGGGTATTTTTGGCACAGGTTTGGACCAGAACCGGTGCCAAAAAGTTTTTTTAAAAAAAATTTTGAGACTTTTGGCACCAGTTCAAAGTAAGAACCGGTGCCAATAGTATTGAAAAATAAATAAAATCGCGCCATGGTAGTTGGCACCGGTTAACCGGTGCCAAATCATGTAGTTAGCACCGGTTAACCGGTGCTAAATGCTTTAGTTGGCACCGGTTTCGAACCGGTGCCAAATTTTCATGGATTTGGCATCCCTCAAATACCCAACGGTTCAAAACCGGTGCCAAGGGGGGGTTTGAACCGGTGCCTTTTTATCTTTTTCTTCTAGTGTATAAATCATACTACACACTAATCTCACGTGGTCATTAGTCGTCCAACTTTCAAATGACCTTGATTGGGGATGATTTTGATTTGATATTCAACGTTCACTTAATAGGTGTTTCTTTATCCATACATTGTCTTGATACCCTATTTGAATATTCTCAAATCGAATGGACTCGTTATTTAATTCTAAACCATAATTAAATAGAAATGGAATAATAATTTATAGAAAAATCCATAAATGAATGTTTTAACATAGTGTTTTACATTTAGATCTCCACAGCTTAATTAAAACACACAAATAGGGAAATCAAAGCCAATCTCCAATATGTCTGATTCCCATTGCCTCAACGCGCTTATGGTGTTTCACTTAAGGCAAAGGTTTAGTGAGTGGATCGGCTACATTGTCGTCCGTTCCAATCTTGCAAATTCTGATTTCACCCTCGTACTTCCATTCCCTTATCATGTGAAATCGCCTCATGACATGCTTGACTTTTTGATGCTCTCTTGGCTCTCTGGCCTGAGCAATAGCCCCACTATTATCACAATAGAGGTCTATTGGTCCCTTTATTGAGGGTACAACACCAAGTTCACCAACGAACTTACGAATCCAAACTGCCTCCTTAGCTGCCTCAAAAGCTGCTAAGTATTCAGCTTCAGTTATAGAATCTGTAGTCGTGCTTTGCTTAGCACTCTTCCAACTGAACGCTCATCCATTAAGACAGAACACGTATCCTGATTGCGACTTGAAGTCATCTTTTTCAGTCCGGAAGCTTATGTCGGTATAACCTTGAACAACCAAATCCTTACTCCCATCATAGACCTGAAATTTATCCTTGTTCCTTTCAGGTACTTTAAGATATTCTTGAGTTTTACCCAGCCGCGGCTGCCGCCCCCTAAATCAACCTTAAAAAAATAATTATTTTTAATTTAATTAAAACAACATTTGTTAAAATTAAATTAAACTAGTCCAACAATTAAAATTAAATCCCTATTTAATTCAAAATTAGGGTTCTTCATGAAATTTAATCCCAATTAATTTAACACTTAAATAAGTCATTGATCATGTAAAACTAATAATTTATACATGAAATCAATGGTATTAAATTCATGAAACAAATTTAAAACTAAATCAAACAAAACAAGCACATAAAATCGTATTTTTATGGCTTATTAGGTTTAAAATTTCCGAAATGAATAGGGCTATGGTTTGAATGTTTTTACCAAATTAGGGCAAAATTTCGGTCCTCTTTATGACTATTTTGAGCATAATTAAATCACATTTAATCAATTCCAAGTGTTAAATCACACTTAATATAATAATTGAACCATAATTAAATTAATTATCCCTCTTAATTGTTTATAAAATTATGAACATGGACTTCAAAAATTTGTATGATTATAATCAAGCGTGTTCATGCAAGAGGCTAACTGATACCACTATAAAGATTTAGGTACTATAAGCGGAATTTCATGAATCATATTCATACGCACCTAAAACAAGATCGCATGCATAATACACAAAAATCACATAATTATACCTTTGAAGCGTGATTTCCACGTAGCAAATTGATTGAAAAATCAGGGAGAGAATAGAGCCCCAAGCATGACTCCTCTACTTAATCCACGGGATTCGATCAAGCCATCCACCAATACTAGATTGGTTAAATGAAGGGGAAAACCACAATCACCACCTTTATGGACAACCGGGCACCAACACTAACACCACCACCACCGTGCACGCACACAAGCGCCAAGGAGGGGAGAGAGCCGTGAGAGAGAGAGGGAGTTTTAGAGGGTTGGTTTCGTATTTGCTAACTCGAATTTTAATTAACAGTAAATTGTTCTTACTGAAAACCTAGGCACCTAGTCTATTTATAATCCTATTATAACTAGACTAGATAAGGAAGCCCAAAGCCCTTCAAACTCCACCTCATGGTCGGCCACTTAGGAGTGTTGAGGCCCATCATGGGCCTCTTCCTCTTATGCTCAATCTAGGCCCTTTGCTTGATCTTATAGGATCCGTTCAATTGGGCTTTGGCCTGTTTTACTATCCCAAAAATCGTTAGTACCTCTAGCTATGTATAACAACGAACCAAAAGAAAGAACTAAATCATCTCCATAATTTGATCCATTATATATCTAGTAATTGCACTTGACGAAAACATAAATCCTTCACACCACCCACCCTTAAAAACTTCTACCCACCACCACCGCCCACACAAAACAACCCTTAACCCAAAATAACCCACAAAATTATCAATATCAACCAAATCATCAAAATAAAATCCGAACAAAAAATCAAAAAATTCGAACAAAAAATCAACAAAATTTGAACATAAAATCAAACCCAAAATCAACAAAATTCTAACTAAAAATCAAACAAAATTTGTATAAATATAAACATGGAAATTCGAACAAAAAACGAAATAAAACCACAAAAATCGAATATAAAAAAAAACAAACAAAATTTTTAGAAAAATCAACCTACCTTTCTCATGAAAACTCCAGATCTAGAATTTTTGTGGTCGAATTTGACCAAGAACACCAAATTCACTCTTGTTGCTCAAAACCTTAGACCAAAATTTGACAAGGAACGAAGAAAGAGTGAGGAAAAAAAAAAGGAGAGAGGAGAGTGAAGAAGGCGAGCGCCGGGCTCGGCCTTCATAGAACGGAGGGAGGAGGAGAAAAGTGAAAAAAGAGAAGAAGAGAAGAGAATAGGGACTCAAATACAGAATTTCATCCATTTGTTGCAGATCCGAATGGATTGGAGGGAGAAATTTCAACTTCTTCTATTTCTCCTATTTAACTGGATTTGATTTAGAAAGAAGGAAAGAGAAACGAAAGAGAAGAAGAGAAAGGAAAGAGAAGAAGAGGGGCATGAGAAGAGAGAGAAAGGAAGAAAAAGAAAGGAAAGAGGAGAAAGGAAAACGGCGGACCATGAAGATTAGGGTTAGGGTGAGTTGGGCACGCTTTTTATACCCTACTTTTTTAAAAAGAAAAATAACCATATTGCGACGGCTAAAAGCGATCGCTTAAAAAAAATAACCGTATTGCGACGGCTAAAAGCGGTCGCAAAATTGCTAATGTTTCAAAAATCGGTCGCAATAGGATTATTTTTACTTCGAATTATTTTAAACATGTATATTAATAAAAATAATGTTTAAATACCATTGAGACTGTTTAATAGCCCAAAAATGGTTACAAATTTACGACCTCTTTTAAAACGGTCGTAATATTGCGACCACGTAAAAATTGGTCACATATTTTAATTTTTTTGACCATTTCCATGATGGTTGTAGAAAAACGGTCGCAATTTCACCGAATTCTAGTAGTGTCCTATACCTACTTGCAAAGCATTTTATTATAACTATTTTCATATAGGCGATAAAAATGTTGGATTAGCGTGCAATATTCTTCGAAACTTCTATATAGCTAACTTAGATTTAGTGAGGAAGCGGCAAAAAACTTAGTATTACTTATTAATTTAGATTTATTGAGGAAGCGGTAAAAATTAGGGGAAATGTAAATGTTTGATATATCTAGGGTACTTATTAGGTAAATGTAATCAAATA